TCCTTAAATGAAAGAATATATGTGGGAAATCATAACGTCCAAAGCTGAATTAGAATTGCCCGTTATGACGTCATCAGTATAGCATCACCCAGCGCAGTAAGAATCATCCCAGACAGCGCTGAGACCTGGTCGAGAGCGGAGGGCAGACGTGAGCAGACGGCTCACACGTCTTCAAGAGTTTATGAATTTAGATTGTGCTTTTAATGTTATACCTTTAGGTGTAAAAGGACTACATCATTATGTTAATCCTGCATACCGTTAACTTCATCTTTATTTACTTTTCTTATTTACTTTTATTTCTTTCTATTAAATAAACCATTTAAATATTACTTCGTGCTCTCATGCTGTGAATTAAGTCAAATTCTACAAAAAAAATATGGCGACCAACCGTGCGGCCTCGAATTCCAAAATGTGCGAGTAGTAGAACTGTGCTTTGAACTGTGAACTGAGTGAACTGTTCTCACAAGTTATTCGATTTATTGGATTACTCGTATAAAGTGTGGATTACCCAATTGACGACGATCATCTGTCGGGTGAGTACAAAACTTTCTTTCCAATATGAAGTTAGTAGAAATTCCAGAATTGGAAGCAGCTTTAAAGAACAGTAAAAGTTCTGAAATCAAAAGTTTGCATAAGCTTATTTTTAATACTGATGGAGATCGAAATAACCGGAAAAGATTACGTGAATTTTCTGGCTTTATATTTAAACCAGATTCTGAAGAATTTAATAAGAAAATAGATACAGTGCAGAATAGTTTTACTTTGAATGAGTTAATTAAAGTTTGCAATGTATTGTGCATAAATTCAGAAGGTTTAAAACGGAAGTCGTAACCCGAATTGTCTCTTTCCTATGTGATTTATCTGTATTATTTGAAAATATTTTGCATGAAGAAAATAGTGATATTGAAGATGAAACTATTAATAAAATTTCTGAAGTAATGCTTGATGATAATCAAAGAGACAATCCTGGTTTTAACGAGTCTCAAGTAAATAACAGTATGCAGCTTCCAATTCAAGATCATTTTAAACCTCATCTTAGTTTTTCTGATATTGAAAGTATTGTTAATCCTTTTTCTGGTAATGCATATGAAAATGTTGATAAATGGATTGATGAATTTGAAGATGTTATAAATTCTTTGAAATTAAGTGATTTGCATAAATTAGTTTTTGCTAAAAGATCATTAAAAGGTAAAGCGAAACTATTTATTCAGAGTGAACCTAAAGTTAATGACTGGTGTAAGTTAAAAAAGCTTTTGAAATCTGAATATGGTAAAGCTTTTAATTCTGCTGAAGTTGCATGAAATGTTATGTAAACGTAAATTAATGCCTAATGAATCTTTAGATGAGTATTTTTTGAAAATGAAAGAAATGTGTTCGCGAGGTAACATTGAAGATGCTTCATTAATTAAATATGTTATTGATGGTATTCCCGATTCTGTGGTTGAGGAAAACTATACTATATGGTTGCGAAACAATATCTGAATTTAAACAAAGGCTTAAAATTTATGATAAAATGAGATCGGACAATGATAAGTTTAAAAATCCGAAACCGAAAGTAGACACTCAAGTTAAAGATAGAAGTAAGCTTTCGTCATCAAACCGAAATCAATCTAACGTTAATAAGGTCAAATGTTTTAATTGCCAGGAATTTGGGCATTATTCAAAGCATTGTGTAAACAAATCAAAGGGTGTAAAATGTAAAGAAGTTCGGGCATTATTCAACGAACTGTCCAGAGCAGAACCCCCGAGACACAACAAGCAGCTTTATTACAACGAATTTGTGACAAGGATAGAATTATGAAGACTGTAGAAATAAATAATCATTTAGTTGATAGTTTAGTTGACACTGGTTCAGATGTAACGATATGCAGCGTAGAGTTACACAAGCAGATTGGTTCTCCTAATTTAAATTGTAGCGATATCACATTAAACGGAATTGAATCAAAGCAAACGTACCCCATCGGCTTTTTCATTTCTGATATTTCAATTGATAGTTTTTTCACTGCGTACGAAAATTTATGTTGTTAAGTCATTATGTAATCAAATTGTATTAGGTTTGGATGTATTGAATCAGTTTAACTTCTCTTTTACCGAGAATGGCCTTCAAATAATTTCTCATCGGAATAAAAGTAATGTAAACTTGATAACTGCTGAGTCATATCGAAATTCTAACGTTCGTTGCGTTATGGGAAATTTGAATATTGCTATGTCATTGAAGAATGTTTATGATCCTTCGCAATCGTCTGGCGTCTCTGTTAATGTAAACAAAAGTCCCGAAAGCGGAAGTAGCTCGACGTTTAATTACCTTTCACATCTGGTGAATGCTATTTCTGTCAACGAGATTGATTTATCGCATATTTCGAATGTAGAACATAAAGAAAGACTGTGTAATTTAATTAATTCGTACCAGCCTCGGAAAAATAGACAATCTGACTTCAAGATGCAAATAAATTTATGCGATGATATTCCTGTTTGTCAAAATAGAAGATACATGTCTTTCGCGGAACAAAAAGTTGCTGACGATCAAATTAAGGAATGGTTGAAAGAGGGCATAATAAAGCCTAGCAATTCTAATTATTCGGCGCCTGTTGTTTTGTGTAACAAGCGTGATAATTCGAAACGTTTATGCGTGCTCTCATACTGTGAATTAAGTCAAATTCTACATATATATTTTAGAAATTTAAATCGTAAATTCATATTTGGCTGTGGCAAAATTTATGATACGGTATATTTTTGGTAAATTAATTTTGATAATACGAGTACTTTGCCTTTAACTAATGCTGTTAAAAATAGTTTCTCACTGACTTCCTTTTTCCGTGGCCGTATAAAATTTTAATTTCGAATATTTTTACTAAAGTTGTTAAGAAACCAAAACTGTCGTAGCCCAAAGGCCTTAGTTATTTGCTCGCTTCTTAAAATGCAACCATTTAGCTAACACCACCCGTTGAAAGAAATTTATTCCTGCATTTGTTTTGAAACAGAATGTACATATATGCCAGTAAAGATCAGAATAAAAGAGGTTGATGATATTTTACATTAGCGATTTTGAGTCACATTTTCTTACTTAATTCTATATTGGCAATAGTAGCTCATTTTGTCTAGAAGACCAGCCAAATAGCTATAACTCTGCATCAGACTCAAAGATAGAAATCAATTTAAATCATTTATGAATCTCATTTACTACCATCGTCTTAATTTTGGGAACTTGTGGTAGATATTCGACAATTTAACGGGTTTATGCATAGATATTTATTTTGGGATTTCTTGTCTGTTAAATTCTTTAAATATTAGGCAGTCAAACTAATACGCGTTTGAAATGGTGAAGATAGGCACTTTTCTTTTCATCACTATGTGATGCAAGGTAACCAGAAGAATATTACATATACTATAATATTGCTTTGATAACAGCAAGAAGTATTTTTTATAAATTATTTATTATATTTTAAGTTGCACATTATAACTAAACTTTTTTGGTATCATAAATTCGACTGAAAAAGTTTTCTCCATGCCTCAGCATCATTTCTAAAACATTAGTTTTATCTTTTTCGTTTGTAAATAATTGTTGTTTTTGTCTTACAGTTTGATCAATAAATCCACGAGCCTTTTCATGTAACTATATCTACTAATTTTTTGTCAACATAAAGTATTTCATAAAGCGTCTGCAATCAATATTATCTCAAACCCGAAAGATTTTTCGTATACTTGAAAAAGGCTATGCTAGAATACATATTAAAAGAAATTATCTCGTAAATTGCTATGTTTGAATGTTGCTTTAAAGTTAAGACACCATTCAATTGCCTTGAAGAGCACTATGCTTAAATATTGTAAGGATTATTTTAATTTTCTAATAGTTATTTTTAATTTTGAAACCTTTTCCTTTAAATTCTTACAACTTCCAACTTTTTGCATTTAAATTTTCCAACTTAGAACTCGCTACCAGAAAACGTTTTTAGTATCTCGTTACATGTAAACGAGGCAGAAAGAATATTTAAAGGAAGTTTCGCTTACTTCAGAAGAAGAGCTTAGGAGTCCTTAGTGGTCCGTGTTTGCCGTCAAGCTGCTTCGTCGTAAGGTAACTGCGCTCAGCCTTATTGAACGTGCCTGCTGATATTCGCCCGTTAATTTAATTAAAAGCCAACTACGTTACATAATTTTGTACAGCATCGGCTAAGTTCAGTTTAATTTAACATTACATTAGTTTCTCATCTTCATTTGAAGCTCAAGTGAAGACTTTTCTGTAATCTCCAGAAATAGCAAAATGTATTCTTAGTTTGAGGTAATAAAAATGAATAGTTTAATCCTTCTCTGGGCTTTGTCGTTTACACACTTGGACTCAGCGATAAGTCGCTACATTATTCAACTAGGTTTTTATGAAGTCAAGCAAACGCAAAGTAGTTGGAAACATCATAGATTCAAAGTCAAGATTTTGTTGAATTGTTTTGAATAAGAATTATATTTAAATATTGTTTTAAAGTAAAGATGCTGTTGTTAAGTTTTAAATATTGCATAGCTGGTTAAGATGTTTCTGACTTTCCCCTGTACCTCTTGTAAAGCCATTCTATTCTAACGGTCTTTGAAAATATTCATGTAATTAAATTATTTCCTCGAATAGGATTCTTTGGTCACCTGTTTCTTTACGAAAAACAAATCAAATTGGTTTTTCGTAATTTCATAATAAAATGGTTCTGTATTTATATAATATAATCTTGTCCATCATTAAGAAAAAGAATTTTCTTCTTAAAATGAAAGTAATATACTTATTTATTATTATTATTATTTTGGTTCTAGTAACATCAAAATGCTTTAACTATGAAAAAATATATATTAAATTTAAATTGAATTTTTACATTCTAGATCACAATAGCTCACTCATGCATTAACTTTCCATCTGTTTGCTGTCAGTGTAAAATTATTTCATGCAAAGTATCATATTAAATTACTTTAATTACATTATATGACATCATTACAGAACTAAATATATGTGGCATTTTGAATCTTACCTCTTTGTCACCTTTAAACCACCGCAACATAGCAGGGGGATTTCCACCAATAGAAACACAGTTGAACCTCTGGATGTCTCCCACTCTCAAAGGCGTTCCTGCGTCATAACCCAGTATGGTTGGAGGTTTCGGAGGATCTGCAAAGTAGAAGTTGATTTCATTTAAATTAAAATATCACTACACAAATTATGCATAAATGAAAAATCGTAACTAATAGGGAACTGTATCATCCTATGTTTCAGTTATATTAAATAATTACGCCTGATCAGCATAAAAAAATATTAGAAAAATTCCGTTCTACAGCTAAGTAAACATCTCAACGAGACAATGCGTATAAAGCGAATTCTTCTAAAAACTCGACCAATATCGTTAAATTAGTAAAAATCATTCCCAGAGCAGGTTATCCTTCTCTGATTAGCTGCAGCTTGTGTATATTTCGTCTAAAATTTTATTAGTGCGGTTAACGATGTGACACGATCACGATAGCTATGATATTTATGCACCAGTGTTAAATTGCTTCCTAATATTTAATTGAAGTCATTTATTAAAGCTCTACCTTCTTAAGATGACTGCATTTGAATGACTTGCTAAGAAAAGTTTAACTCGTATTAATGCTACTATGAATGAAAAGCGTACCCAAATAACTTATTCCTGCAAGAATTAGACCCTAGACGATAATATTAAGGTATAGTGATTAGACAGACACAAACAATGTCGCATCCGTTCAATCTAGTTTCAACTCTTGACTTAATTCCTCCTCCATTGTTTAGTTAGACAGATACAGAAACGGATTTTTGCTAACATTATCATAAATTTTAAAAATTTAATTCATTTGTAATCAGTTAAAAAATTTCAAATCTTTCTTTATTTAAATGCATATATTTAACGTCTTTTTACTCTACAAAATAGGTAATTATACAATAAAGCATATTATCCGTACATCTATAACAACATCTGTTTATTATTCGAACATTACTAAATGACAATATATCTTGCAGAAGAGTAAGAAAATAAAAAAGCCAAATACTCTCCAGGCATTAGAAACCGAAAAAAATAAGCAGCACAAGTACTCACCCTTCAAATGGAAACAAACGAAAATTTATATGATAAAGCGAAGCTCTGGTGAAAGAGGTATTCAGAGACAAAGCACACCTGGCATGATTAAAGAGCAGCAGAACTTTTGGACCACATCCAAGGCGATGGTAGCAATCAATTAATGCTTTAGTTTGTAAAAGGAGGCAGCTAAGCATTTTTGATGGTTTTATTTGCTTCAGTCCATTTATAGACATCCAGAAAAGATTTAATACTATTTAGTTCCTATCTGATTACTGTTGTGGACATTGCATAAACAATTTTAATCATACGAACTTTTATTTATAGAAATCAAGTAGTGTTTAGCTTGTATCCTAATTTATTTCGCGATTTATTTTACTATCATTCGATCTGTTTTGCGTTTTATACCAATGAAGGAAATTTACGTCAGCAGATCTGAAATGTTCCCGTTTGATATGCAAAAACTTGATTGGTAATAAACTCTTTTGATTTGTATAAACAATATTAAATGAATGAATTTGAAAGTTTCGATAGAGAAATCGTATTCCTTTTTGATTTCGTCCTGTGATTAAGAAAGCTTGCTAATCAGAACAATGCTTAAGATGCCAAAGATATAAAACAATGCTTAGATCGTATATATGATAATTTGTCTTTTTTCTGAAAGAACTTGTGAAGCAGTTTCGCATAGGTCAAGAATATGTAGAAGATGATTCTTGTATAATTTAATCATTGGAGACACTGGATATAAAAATGTACTGCTTTTCACCAGAAGGAAATACTGAGCGAGTGGAGATTGGATCTAATGAAAACAGATTGGATCAATTGAAACAAATATTTCACGCTTTCTAGGAGAGCGTCTTCACATGAACTGCAAGGTGCTTATCCCGAAAGTATCTGGAAGGTACTTCTTTGAGCAGTTTAGAAGCAGCAACGTGTCAATTAAATTCAAGAACAGTAATGCCAATTTAAGGAACTTAGTTCCAAATGATTATTAGCTGTTCTGTAAACTCAAATTCGACTTTCATATAAAGCTATTTATTTAATGATGATGATGGATTGAAAACAAAACAGCAGTTATAAACATTTTGAAAACAAACCTTTAACTCTATTAGGGGCATGGAGTTACTCATCAAACGTTGCAAAAAGTGTAACGAGGCCATAAGATATTGAAAAATATACTATTGAAAATTTCCTTAGTTTTAGAAGTTAGCAGGCCGGAAACGCTTGAATTCATCTACATACAGTTAGTTCATCGAAGGCAACTAAATCACAAGTTTTCTATCAGAAAGTCAAATGTATCCTGCATCTCTGGTGACAACTTGTATGATTTCCATAGCTAAGTTTAAAATTTCAGTATTGCACACATAAGTATTATCAGTTAATAAAAACCTAATTCTAATGTTAATCATAACATCTTCATTTATAAATTATAAAAGCACAATTTTACAACAGAAATACGTGATATTTCACTTGTAACGAATAGAGAAATTCATTCAAATTTCATATAGGCATTTGATATCCACAATTCCCGATGTGGAAATTCTAAAAGGAATTAATATTATCTCATTATTTAATTTGTTTCCAGATTTCAGTTTTATTTCTTTCGCGACAGAAACGATAGCTTTACAGATGTAAATACAGGCCAAATACAAAGTATTCTTTAACAGCACATTTTAGGCAGCATTCATATAGGATAGAATTCTTTTCTACTTCTTCGTTTTTGCTTATACGAAATTTCTCATTTACCTTGAGCGTTGGAACACTTTTAAATTCACACATTTCTAATTATAGATTTTCTGAATTTATATTACATTAGATTCGTTTGTTAAAAAAATTCCATTTAAGAAGAAAATCTTCACCGTTTCGTTGCTTCTTTACTGAGTTAAAATCACTCAGGCGAGTCAAATCTGGTCAAATGTAACAGGCATGAGAAAGTCCGATTAAATTAATCTGGATCTGATCATTGCATTCGCTTAGGTATTCCGACATTTTTTTTTATGCTAGGAAAAGATGATGGTAGAATAATATAAAAAGTCAAGAGGGATCTCGGGAAATCTTAAAGCCTAGGGCTGTGCCTTGTGGGTTTAAACATTTCTAGGATATGGTACAGGTATTTTTAAGTAGGCTAGAGGAATTTATGTTTGCTATAGCTCCTAAGGTAAGACACGTTCAATGATATAACAGTCACATTGGAACTGTTATAAATACAATCTGCAAGCATAGCATGGCCATTTTGCCAATACTGTTCTATACAGTATATAAACAATACCCATACATATACATTGCTTAGCTGAGTCTGGTGTAATTAATAAACTACTCTGCTCTCAATTCATTCTGTATTACTCAGCAAAGTTATTTCAAAATGCATATAGGTGTAAAATTAATTATTCCGAAAAACAGTCTTTTGTATCATCGTTAAAATGTTCCTGCACAAAATAAGCTAACTGTTCTAGATCTTTTAAGTCTTTAGTTTAGTGGTATTAGAGTTGTCGTTTCACATGCGAATAGTATTTATTATTTATGATAAGTAACCATAGAAGGCATTCTAGTAAAAAAAAGATTAACCTGATCACCAAAATAAATTATTCGGACAGAAACAAATTTTTTGTTGTTGTTGTGACTTATGTCACTGGTCTGATGGTAACATCCGAGCAAGCTCACGAAATAAATGTATCGGGGTAAAGAGCGCAAGATTGAGTCTCTCGTTTCTCAACACCCCTGAGCACCCATACAGGGGACAGACAGTACGATTTTGCTCAGATCCGCCTCCAATTTTGAGAGAGAGCAACCCGAGGGGAAGATTCCGAAGATCTCTGATCCCTCTTTCCCTATCATCAACCTCTCGAGAGGACTTTTGGCTTGAGTACTACCATGCTGCAATGATACTATACATTTATAAACATCCATACCTTCTCTGGGATTCGAACCCTGGCCTTTCGGTGCGACAATAAGCATTGTTAACCACTATTTCGATTGGGCGGTGAAGCAATTTTACAAGGCTGAGAAGTTTAATGCGGATTTGTTAAGAATGTGCTAACATGCAAACGAAAGTTATTGACAAAAACAATAATTTTGATTACATTAAGACGCCGCTTAACGCTGTTTCGTTTAGCGCTGTTTCGGTTTATCGCACTTTGAGTTGAATTGTGGGATTCCTCGAAATTGCCCGCAGAGTTAGGCTTCCCGATATCCGAAGCAGTTTATCTGTGTTTCCTCTTTCCTACGGTGTTATACGAACGTATTTTTATCGTTTCAAACATTTGCTGATGTTATTGTAAGTATAAATTTATATAATATAGCGACTGATCTAGTGACAAATATTATGATTTTTAGGTTTAACATGGCTGATAATAAAAGACACGAAAATAAAACAACAAGAAAAAGCATTTCACTAGAAACTAAAATTCAAGTGATTAGAAGATTAGATACTGGTGAACGTCAATCTCATATTGGTGCTGCATTGAATTTGGCAACTTCAATAATAAAGAATATTCTTAAGAATAAAGAAAAAATACTGTCATCGGCAACTGCAACTACAACAAGCTCTGCAACTAGAATTACCCGTTCTAGAATTAATACAATAGATGAAATAGAAAAACGACGAAATTGGAACGCAATATCCCATTAAGCCGGTATATTATAATGGAAAAGGCAAGAAGAATTTTTAATTACATTCAGATTGAGGAAAGTTACACAAGTGAAACTTTTGTTGCTAGTCGAGAATGGTTTAATAGATTTAAACATCGAAATAATCTTCATAACAAACAGATTACAGGAGAAGCACCAAGTGGCGATACGAAAGTGACGGCTGAATTCCCAGCGGCATTAAAAACAATAATTAAACGAGGAAACTATCTTCCAGAATTGGTTTTTAATGTTGATGAAACAAGCCTATTTTGGAAAAGAATGCCAAAACGAACATTTCTATTCCGTGAAGGAAAACGTGCACCAGGATTTTAAAGCTGCAAATGATCGCTTAACACTTCTACTGGGTGATAATGCAAGCGGCGATTTCAAATTAAAACCACTACTTGTTTACCATTCCAAAAACCCAAGAGCGATGAAAGGAATATCCAAATCAACT